GTCACCCTCACAGAGCCATGTCCTCCTGGTCAGGATGATCTAAATGTCAGGGGACAGCGCTCCCTTGCCGTGGCTCCGCGCGCCCACAGCTGCTCTGTGTCGTCTGTGCCCCGAGCGGGACCGCAGATGGCGCTGGGCGCTGAGCCTGGGAGGGAGCCGTGCTGGCCGGCCAGGCGCTGACTTGAGCATCCCGGGGGTCTGCGCTCCAAATCCACCCTGCCCCAAAGCGGGCGTGGGAGGCCGGTTGGCTGAGGGCTGCTCTGACTTTGGAGCCCGAGTCACCTTCTCTTGGCTACAGCTTAAGGAGTGGGGACAAGCCGCAGGTTCCTGGGCCGGGTGGCACCAGCCTGGTCCATGACGCTCGGCAGCTGCTGGCAGCAGTTGTGGGTATCACTTGAGGTGTGGCAGCCCCAAGCTTCAGGGGCGTGCGGCAGTGTGGCCCCTGAGCTAGAGCAGGGGTCTGGGGGCTGGTCATCAGAGGAGCAGCTCAGCCCGGAAGCTGGCTCACGTGCTCTGAGGCCATCGTGTGGGCCTGTGGGCCTGAGACCAGGGGTGTGTGTGCGCGCGGGCGTGCGTACGTCCATGTGTTTTGTGTGTATGAGGGTGAGCGTGTGGCTGGGGGGACAGGCCTTTTGAATGCCATGCCCCCTTTCCTTCCTCACTGACCCCGTTCTACAGAAGAGACTGAGGCCATACCCAGATGCCTGTGGTCAATGACAGTCGAGGCGTCGCAGTCAGGCTGCTCTGTGTCACGCAGGGGTGGCCTGACTGCCCGGGGAGCTGACTAGGTGTTCCAACATCCTGCTGTGGGCCCCGAGTCTGCTGAGGTGTGTTCCCACGGGAGTTGTCACTCCCGGGCCCACAATGGCAGCCCCTCTGGGCCTGACATCCTCTCGTCCTTGGCACACAGCGCTGAGGCCAGTGGGGGTTCTGGCCTTACAGCCAGTCAGGGAGCCAGTGGGGGAGGAGCTGAGAAGCCCAGGCGCTCTGGGCTCTGTGTGCCCTGCCCTCCTGCAGTGGCCACCCCATCGGTGCCCTGGGCTCTGGGCATCTAGGGCCTTGGGTGTGTCTTTCTAATCTCAGGGCCACCTGCACAAATGAGCAGACGCCAGAGGGAGTGGACGCAGCCTCATCCTGGGCAGGACCTGTTCGGAGTGAGGAGACTACCAGGGAGGGTGTGTTTCTTAAACCTCCATTCACAACTAACCATGCTCAGGACGAGGGAGGGACCTGAGGGAGCTGCCCTGAGCTCCCCAGGAAGAAATGTCACCCCAGAGGTGGGTCTCCATTTCCCAGTAGCTCCCAGTCAGCCCCTCACAGCCCATTTTTCTGCTTCTATCAGCTGAATTTTTTCTTGCCACAAGGAGCCCCTAGACCCAGAGGGCACTGCCTGCAGCCACCCTGTGGCCGCTGGGTAGCTGTCTGGCTCAGGTGACCGACCAGGCTTCAGCACCTCCCACCTGCTCCAGTCCGGGGGGGCGAGGAGCCAGTGGAGCTGGCCTCCGTGGCGAAAGCGGTGGGGGGTTACAGCGTGCAAAGGGTGACAGCTCCAGAGAGATGCGGAAAAGCAAAGGGCTTATTAAAACGCTGAAATTGGTTCCAAATGAGGTCAGCCGTCGAAGTGCCTTGGAGGAGAGCCAGGCGCTGAGCCGTGAACAGCGTTTATTTCCTGACGGGGTGGTGATGACGCACCCGGGTGCCACCCCCACGCTGCCTTTGGAGGACAACTTGCACCAGAGCACCCCCCACCTCGAGGGCACACAAGGAGGGCCGGCTGGCTCAGCACTTCTGTTGTCCAGAGGGCGCCTGGGACAGGCAGGTGTCTCACCGGATGTGACCAGGGCAGCATAGCTGAGTGCTGCTTCCGTACCCCGGGTCAGATTGCTTGTTTTTAAAATCCATTAATGCAAAGAACGGCACATCGTGCCGAGGCCATCGATTGGACTAACAATCTCCCACCCGGCCGAGGGGGAGACTCCGAGGCTTTGCTTCCTCGTTGCAGCTCTCACCCGAGCATCCCTTCCTCCCGGCTCCAGTGGAATTTCCCTGACCTTGACCACCTCCGGGAGCAGCACCCCGTCTACCCCAGCTGAGAGCCCCCTTGGCTCCAGGCATGTGCTTGCCCTCTCTGAGGCTCCATCTCCTCGAACCTGAGGCTAGTCACAGACCCGGGAACCCACGGCCCATGGGGGAGAAGTGAAACAGAGCCGGTGAAGGTCTGGGCGTGGCCCTACTTCCTGTCTCCTGTTAATTACCAGTACTCCGTAATTACAATATTTCTGAAATCAGCTGAGTCAGTTTTGTGAGATGTGAGAAGAAGGCAGCATTCCAGCCCAGTTCTGACCTGCAGAAAGACAACGTGCTTTGAATCCTGTTAAAAATAAACATGGGCACGTAGCACGCTGCTGGTTCCTGAGAGCTGCGCAGGCCTCCTCCTCGGTGCTCTGAGCGACTGTTGACCCCCACTTCCGGAGAGGAGCGGAGGCCAGGGGTGTTCTCAGCTGCCCGAGGTCAGCAGCATCAGGCCCCGGACCCCCACTGCCTCTCACCCCCCAGAACCGCCGGTCCGAGGGAGCCAGGGGACACACTATTGTCATCTAACGGCTCTGGCTCCAGATGGGGTGGGGATCTGAGTGGGAAAGTGTTTGTCCTAGGATGCCCAGATGGGACCCAGTAGGATTCAAACCCAGAGTGCTGACACCCCAGAAGGTGCATAACGGGGGGGGGTCTCACTAGCCCAGGGGAGCAGCTACTGCTTGTCCTGCTTGTCTTCTAGCTAGAGCCCCCTAGGACGGCTACCCAGAGCCATCACCCCACTTTGTACCTGCTGGCTTCCGTCACCACTGCACCAGGAACACGGGCACACACACACCCAAGGAGAGGCATCGTCTCACCCCTTCTCGAGGCTGCTCCCTGATTCCAGGATGGGGAGGCGGTTGAATGTCCAGGGTGCGTCGTGACCTCAAATACCAGACGGCTGCTTGTGGCACAGATGAGGCGGTTCTGGAAGGAATTTGGGAAATGAGGGCGGCTCCCTCTCGGGTTAGGCCTTTGGAGCCTCCTCTTGGGTCTCCTAAGGGCTGGACCAGCCCGACTCAGGCCTGTAGCCCGACACCCCTTGGTGCCCCCCAGCCAGCAGAACACGGTCCTTCCAGGTTCTTCCGTCCGGGCTGCGGTGTCTCACTAGTGCTCAGTGCCTGTGACCTCTCGGGCCCCACGGGGACTGCTTCTGTGGCCCGTGATCCTCCTGCACCGTTTCCCAGGCCCAGGACGGTGCCCTGGGGGACCACTCCCTCCCTCATTCGTTCATTCCTCCATTTACTCACTCCACACCCTTTGTCTCCCTCCAGCTCTGTGCCTCTATGTGGGGAATGGGGCCCAGCAATGGACAAGGCAGACGCCCCTGGCCCGTGGAGAGCAGCCATTTTGGTGTCAGTTCCACGACTGCGAGGCACCTATAACCCGGTGCTTTATGCGTTTAGCTCTCACGTGCCTGGGCCTGTGTGTCCTGGTGGTGAACACGCCCTTCCCTGCGCAGTCAAGGGGAGGGACCCCATGGCCTTTTGTTTCGTTTTTCTTTCTTCTGCCTGGTTTGGCTTTGACCTCTGGGAGGCAGAGATCACCACCCACCAGGGCCCGGGGAGGGCTGGAACTTTCTCCAAATTTCATCTTCATGCAAAGACACGGTCATTTCGCCCTAAGAGACAGAGTTCAGAGCAAAACCAGAGCCCAGCGCAGCCTGCTCAAGGCCCATCTTTTGGAATATTCGAGGACTTAAAGGTGGACACCGGCTGGTGACATGGGCACCGGTGTATTCCTACGGGTTGTTGGTTTCTCCAAAGACAGAAAGGCCAGGAAGAGGAAGAAGGGAACAAGGGAGGGAGGGAGTCAGGTGCCCAAGGGAGGGGGCCGAGGTCAGAGCAGGGGGCAATCCTGGAGAACTTCCTGGAAGCGGCAGCACATGCTGCGTCCACGCTGCACAGAGAAGGATGGGAGTGAGCTGAGGTGTGGTGAGACTGACACTCGAGGCTCTCAGGGCTGTGAGGCTGTGGAGAGCCCTGTGGTGTGTGGAGAAATGCTGTGATGGGCCGGCTGGCCTGGGAGGATTCAGATTCAGGCTGGGTCCATTTTTGGCTAGAGGATGTCATGGGTTTGGGAGCTTTGGAGACAGGGAAGCAAGTCTGTCACGTGCACCCTTTTCCTTACGTCTGTCGCCCACCAGCAAGGTGCCCTACACTTTACCCCTCAGCAAGGCATCGCCAAGTCTACTCCCCAGAAATGCACCCTGCAGTGTTCCCCTCAGCTCTGTGTACCCACTGTGCCATCTGCCCCCGCCCCCCAACAGTGTACCCACTCCTTCTGCAGCAGCCGTGGTGCCAGCTGGAGCCTGTGGGGAAATAGAGAAGAGACAAAAGTGGGAACAGCAGGCTGTGGAAAGAGTGTCTAAACACAGGGCTTATTTGAGGATTGTCTTTTATTTTTAGTTTAAATGGGTCCACCCTCCAGCATTGTAGGAATGGCTCACTGGGCCAGGCCCACAGCAGCGTGGCTTCATTACTCACTTGTCACCTTGGAGATAACCTTGGGGTCTCAGTCTGCCCATCCACAGATGGGACAGCACGGGGCCCATCTCGTCAGCTGCAGGGGGACAGGACAGGACAGCCTGCCTGGTGGTCAGCCCAGCGCCTAGCCAGAGGGCATCTGAAAGGCCTTCTGGCTGCAGAAAGGCGCCACTTTCTGGACAGCTGTTCAGAGGTGGTTCAGGGGGACAAACTCAGCCAGTCTGCTTCAATTCCCACTGATGATGTCCATGTGTCATTAGTGCCAATTAGGAGAGCAAGGGACGCAAAGCGTTTGGCCTGAGGCACAAGCTGGTGGGAGGGTCACTGGGACAATTCGATTCCCCACCAGACAAATGTGATTACTGGTGCAGGCTGGACCCTCCCTCTCGGAGGGCCAGGACATAAATGGCCAGGTGGGGCGGCTGAGCTCACCCAGCCATGCAGGTGCCCAGCCCCAGCGTGCGCGAGGCCGCCTCCATGTATGGCACCGCGGTGGCCGTCTTCCTGGTCATCCTGGTGGCTGCACTACAGGGCTCCGTCCCTCCCGAGAGTCCTTTCCCCTACCGCATCCCCCTGGACCCCGAGGGGACCCTGGAGCTCTCCTGGAATGTCAGCTACACGCAGGAGATGGTCCACTTCCAGCTCCGGGTGCGGGAGTTCAGGGCCGGGGTCCTGTTTGGGATGTCGGATCGTGGCGAGCTGGAGAACGCCGACCTGGTCGTGCTCTGGACCAATGGGGACAGTACCTACTTTGGGGTAAGTCTTTCCTCCACCCTGAGCTTGCCCTCCCAGCCGCGCAGCTGGCCTTTCTCTTACACTCTCCCTCCTTAACCCGGCAAAGGAAACTTTTCTCTCGCTCCTCTGCTCAGGTTTACTCTGATCTTAGTCAAGCCTTTGTCCCAAGCTTGGGTGTCTTAGAGATGCCAATTTGAGGACAAAATGGGAAACAGATGCCTTCCATGGCCCTCGACAACGCACCCCAAACAAGAGGGGCGCCCAAGAAAGGACGCGCACACGCCACATAAACACACACTCCACGTATGTCCCACCCCCTGAGTGCAGATCCCATGCTCTCCACTCGCACAAGCAGCGTCCAGGGCACCACACCCTCCAGCGCAGGCCTAGTGGTCGCATGTGACTAAGCACAGCACCCGGCGTGCACACTGGGCCAGGATGCAGCTCTGGTAGGCCAGGTGCTTGCACATGCAGGTGAGCTGAGCAGGTGCAGACACCACCCCCTCAGGTGTGCAACAAACCCACAGAGCTGAGCTCTTGACTCCTTGCCTTCAAATGTCACCCTATTCTTGCCGTAAAGGGTGGAGAAAAGGGGATTTTCCTTTCCAACTAGAGAGGCTCTGGGGCCTCGACAAGCTGAAGGGAGGAGGTCCTGGGGTGGGGGCCCAGCACCTGCCCTGAGCCACCCCCCACCTTCCTTCCCAGGTGAGTCTGGCCACCAGGGTCTCTCTGGGCACGAATCCCAACCCTCCACAAAAATACATAAAAGGATTAAACACCTTTTAAAGTTGGAAGGCACCTTCTTCATCTGTGAGCAGGAGCCTTTCACCCCATGACATGGAGGAACCCACTAGAGCATGAAGTCAGGACCAGTGGGGCTGACCTGGGCAGCCAGCCCGGACTGCTGGCTTTGATGACCTTGTCAGCAGAATGAGAACGATCTCTCTCCACTTCTTTGGGTTTTTGTGAGTTGACACGAGAGATGACACTGGCTGATATTTTTGGAACACAACTGTTCCCCACCCAATCCCCATGACGACTCTGCAGGCAGGTGCTTTGCCCGTGTCACAGGTGAGGCAGGAGGCTAGATGAGCTGCAGCCATCTGCTTGGGGCCACCCAGGAAGGACAGGCAGGAGCTGCCTGGATGGGGCCCAGATCTGGCCCCTGGGCTGCCCTGCCTCCCACATGAGGACGCTTAGTGGCTCAGGGGGTCTCGGCCAAGGGGACCCAGGACAGCCCCCATTCAGAGCCGTCACGTTCGGAGCAGCGGGGCCCCTGTCAGAGTACAAGCTCCTCCTTGGACGGCTTTCCCCGGCTGCCAAGAGAGCCAGGCGACTTCACCCTCCCTGCACACTGCAAGATTAATTTGCTCAACAAATTCCTATGCCAACAAATGTCAGGCTTGTTTTTCCTCCTTTAACAATATGTTCAACAAATAGATTCTCGAATTCCAGCTCGAGTATCACAAGCGAACTTTCTGCCTCCGTTTAAAATCAGTCCTTCTGCAACCCAGCAGTGGCCCCAGCAGGAGATTTGCTGTGCTGTGCTTCTCTAGGGAAAATTTTGCAAAATCTTGTGCAGGTTTCTTTTTTCTCAAGGGAATGGAGAAGATATGTGTTAGCCCTGGAAGCAGGGTTAACGAAAAGTCCTCAGGTCAGGGACCCGCAGGGGGCCTGAGTCAGAACAGTCCAGCCCCCTCTGTCTCATCGCTGTCTTGTCTCTCTGTCTCCCCTCTCCGAGGCTCCATGTACCATCATGACCCTTCCCTTCGAAGACCAATGGGAACGGTGTTTGTCTAAGGCCCCCCAGTCACAATCATGGCACCTTCTTAACAATATAGATTCCTGGGTCCGGCCCAGAGGTCTAGGAAGCGTCAAGGCTAACCAGGCCTGGGAGCCCCGGCTGGCGTTTGAGAGCCCTGCTTCATGGTCCCAGAGGAAGTGCCAGGGGTCTGTGCTGTCTCCAGGCAGACAAGGAAAGTGGGAGTGAGTGCCCAACGCCGGCCCACGGCCCTGGACCCACAGGCCTGGGTGTGTCCTACAGAGCCGCACGGTGGGCGGCTGCCTTGCGCTCTGGCGGTCCGTCTGGGCGCTTGGTGCTCCGAGCCCATGCTTGTCTCTGCAGGACGCCTGGAGTGACCAGAAGGGGCAGATCCACCTGGACTCCCAGCAGGATTACCAGCTGCTGCAGGCAGAGAGGACCTCGGAAAGCCTGACCCTGCTCTTCAAGAGGCCTTTTAGCACCTGCGACCCCCAGGACTACCTCATCGAGGTGGGTGGGTAGCTGCATGCTCGGGTGTGAATCGTGGAGGGAACTAAATGATCTGTAAGGCCCGACCAACTGTCTAGGAGTTCACAGCCACAGTGGGGCCAAAGATGCCACAGGTTCCTCACGCTGCCCGAGACCCCCAGTTAGGGAGAAACAACCCACCCCACCCTTGGAGACAAAACCCTTTTAACCTTATGGTATGGCAGTGACGTGGGCTGGCGGTGTGCCAAAGGGAGGAAGCTGAGGCCAGGCAGGGGAAGGACGTGCCCAGAAGCTCCTGGCACGGTGGGGGCCTAACTGGCATCGGAAGAGGTGTCTTTACAGCGGACTGTCCGAGTCCTTGCCCTCCTGGCCCACCTTCCCCGAGGATGAGGCAAGGGCAGGCAGAGGACTGTTTCTGAGACCTTTGCCGGGGGTCCGTCAGTGCTCATGTGCGCTCCAGGCGGGGTGTGGGGAGCCTCCTACCTGGAGCCCTGAGATGCCCTGTGCAGACAGCAGCCTGGGGGCTCCCAGGTTTATATGGCCATGAACTCAGAGAGCAATTAGCCACCACCACAAACGCACACACACACGTACATCCACTAGTGCCCAGGAAACCACACGTGGATACAGGTTTACATTCATGGCAGCATCTGAGAAAGCCAGCCCAGCCCCCTGCCTCCCTGGGTCTGTCTAGAGCTTCCTATGTCCACACTGCCCGATACCAACGGGGCTGGAGGCGGCTGTATTGGTCAATGCAGTTCTACACGTTCAGTGTCAGGCGTGTCACCTACCAGGCGAGGGCGGCCGGGACCTGGCATCCCCCGGTTACCAAGGAACCGAGCTCTGGGGCTGTGAGTGGGCAGGCGCTGGGCTCTGTGTTGGCTGCAGGACGGCACCGTCCACTTGGTGTACGGGATCCTGGAGCAGCCCTTCCCATCGCTGGAGGCCATCAACACCTCAGTCCTGCGGACAGGGCTGCAGAGGGTGCAGCTGCTGAAGCCCAACATTTCCACCCCGGCCTTGCCCTCTGACATACGCACCATGGAGATCCATGTCCCCGATGTCCTGGTCCCCGGCGAGGAGACCACCTACTGGTGCTACATCACGGAGCTTCCGGTTGGCTTCTCCAGGCACCACATCGTCATGGTACGTCAGGGGTCCGGGAAACAGGTCCTGTCTCAGCTCTGCCTTCCACCTGGGGCCTCAGTGAGAGGTCTGGGGCCTGGAGAGCTGTCCATGGTCCTGGTTGAACTAGATGCCCTGAGCCCTAGGCGCCCCTGAACTGCCTGCAGCCACAGATACCCTCTGATCCAAGTCCCCCTGCTCACTCCCCACCTCCCAGGGCTTCTGCACCCCAGATTCCCAGTCTGAACCAAAGGCAACTGATGCCTTGATTTTTGTGTCTTCCCTGGGGCTGGAATGGCTTTCATTGAAAAGCAGCTCAGTTTAGCACTCAATTGCTCTAAACACCGACCTGGAGATAGGACAGTAACGACAATGGCTGCCTGGGGGAGGGGGAGTGGATCCCCCACTCCATCACCACGGTGGTACCCAGCAGCACTAGGTATTATCATCCCTGTTCTGAGGGGAGGAAGTGCAGCCCAGAGAGGCTGTGTGAGCGCCCAAAGTCACACAGCAGGAAATGGCCGGCCTGACTTACAGCTGCGCCCGGTCCCTGGGTTCAGGCTCAGCCTTGGGGCAGCCTCTGTGTCCTTGTCCAGCCACTGGCACATTCACACAAGGACAGCTGCCCTCCTGTCCCCACCCGATCAGGAAATGACTTGCCTGTTCCTCATTTCCTTTGCTCTGGAGAGCTTCATGGGCTTCTGGCAGGTTCTGCCTGGTTCCAGGTGAGTGGCTCTACCTCCAGACCCCTGAGCCCCAGAAGCACCCCTGGAAATGGCCTCGCTCAACCCCCCCTCCCCCATTTAACAGATGCGCAAGCAGAGGCCCATGGACGGGAACTGCTGGGCCAGAGAACCCCCAGTGGGGGTGAGCAGGTGGGTGGGTGGGTGTTCACTGCCCCAGACCCAGTGCCCCCTCCACCCCACAGTACGAGCCCATCATCACCAAGGGCAACGAGGCCCTCGTGCATCACATGGAGGTCTTCCAGTGTGCCGCCGAGTTCGAGAGCTTCCCCCAGTTCAACGGGCCCTGCGACTCCAAGATGAAGCCCGAGCGCCTGAACTTCTGTCGTCACGTGCTGGCCGCCTGGGCCCTGGGCGCCAAGGTGCGTGCCCTGTCCTCCCGTGTCACCTCCCTGGCCTCATCTGGGATCTTTGGGGGCCCCGGTTCCTCCACACCTCAGTGTCCATCACTTCTCTATTTGAGGGACCCCCCCAAAAGGGGCACTGGGGGTGCTTATGAGACCACCAGAGAGAGCTCACATCCAAACACCCCCCAGCTGACTGTGCGTCACCTGCACTCCACCACTCTTGAACCACGAAGGCTTTTTCCAGCCGTTGTTACTTTTCTCTAAAAATGCGAAAGCCCCACGAGCTATGTTCTTCACGTGTCCCCACTGGACTTGGAGGGGTTTGTGCACAGAGTAGTCCCGGGCTGGCTGGTGGCGGGGCCTCCCTGGGGGGCGTCATGAGATTTTCCTCAGCTTCCTCCATGTCCACAGGAGGCCGGGCAGGGCTATCCAGGGGCTTGGGCGGTTGGCTGGCCCAGGGGCACCAGCTCCCCAACTGCCTGACCCCCAGTCCAGTAAGAACAGCCACGTGGCCTGGTGATGAGCTGCCGTCAGCAGGACAGTGTCATTCTAATTCAGCTGTCCCTCCAATACCCCCTGCAGCTAAGGCCCCAACAGTTGAATGAGTTTGCCAACCCCTGTCCGGGAGCCCCCCGTGACACACCGGCCTGTCTGCCAGGGCCTGTGGTTCCTGCATGCCTGACCCCTCCCTCTTGTTCCCTGCAGGCCTTCTACTACCCTGAGGAAGCGGGCGTTGCCTTCGGGGGCCCCGGGTCCTCCAGATTTCTCCGCCTGGAGGTTCACTACCACAACCCGCTGAAGAAACAAGGTAGAAAGCTCTGAGAGCAGTTTTCCAGGCCCTGCCTCTGTCCTCCCCTTGGACACCCTTCAACTCGGCCATGTTGAGTCAGGAGGATAATTGGGGGTCTGTTCAGCGTTGGCCTCCTCCCCAGCATCTAGCTTCCCTGTTACATGACCCACTGCAGCACGCACCCCTCTTGTGTCTCTCGTTCACTATCCCTCTCTCATGACTGCAGTGGGCTCCCGGGCAGGGCCTTTTCGGGCGGGCTCAGCACCCCCACACATCTCATTCTTCAAACACCAGCTCCATGGACATGGTGCTGTCCCAGGTACCAGCCCCTGGGAAAGGCAGGTAGAGTTTCTGCCCATTTTGCAGATGAGAAAATTAAGGTCCAGACTGAAGGGATCCCACCAGGGCCATGAAGTGAGCAGGGGTTCTGGGAGCCAGAGGTCTGGCTCTGGACTCTCTCCACGGTCTCCGTCACGCAGCCTTGGAATGGCCCTGGCTGGTCTGACTCCAAAGCTGCGAGGAATCACTTAGATGTTGGATCAGTACACGCGGCCCACCCCTCCTCCCCACACTCTTCACTCACTTTGTGGCACTGGCCAGAGCAGGAGGCTAGTGGTCCATGTGCCACTTTCCCCGGAAGTTGAACTTCTGAGTCTGCTCAGACCAGCAGCACCCCCTCATCCCAGACTGGGTGACCCGCCAGCACCCGGGTGTGGTGGCTCTGCCCTCCCAGAACAGGCTGGGCCAGGACAGGGCACCTGGTAGGATAGCAGGATGCAAGCTATTCCAGGGCCAGCATGGCCCCTGCCTAGCACCCACCCATCAATGGCACAGCCCCCAGGACTGTCCTCAGGGCAAGTTGCCCCCTGGCTCAACTGGGGGCGTTTCTGGCTATGAGCTTCCCTCCTGCTTCTCAAAATACATCATAGCAGAGCAAACGCGTGCCTCAGAGGTGAGTGTGGTATGGGATTCTTTTCCCATGTGTTTTTGTGTCCAGGTCGGCAAACAGGTGTGGCCCTTCTCCCTGACCCTCAGCAGTGGCATGAGCTCCTGCTGGAAAGGGATCTGACGTCACCCTGGACCCAGCAGGGCAGTGCAGGGGTTGACTGGCAACGTCTGCTGGGTGCTGGCTCTCGTGTTTCCTGCTGAGTTTGTCCCCAACTCACCACTCAACAGGCACAAACCTCAGGCCCCGTGGGATGCAGGGTAGCGCTCTCGGTCCCCAGTTTACCATGCCAGACCTTAGGTCCAGTAAGGTGACTTGGTCGGCCATGGTTACCAGCCAGGAATCGAAAGCGCTGAGTCAAGTGTTGGTTCTGGGGCGCGTGTCCTGCCTGCAGAGTAGGGCATGGGAAAGTGAGCTCGGGCAGATGGCGGGGGCTGCTGGGTCACCCTGTGCCTGAAGGTGTAACAACCAGAGTCGATCTGTAGGATGGAAGTGCCCGTTGATGTGTGTCAGAAACTGACACTATTTTCCTCTGTTTCGCCAGCATCTTCCACCATGTGTAGCCACAGTCTTCTTCCTCTCATTCTCTCTTAAAAACAAAGACACTTACTTTCACTTGTGTCGTTGAGGAGCAGACATAGCCCGAGAGGTAAGATTATCAGCTGCAGGCTAGGTCCCAGCCAGTGCCTCGCCAGCTGCATGACTCTGGGTGGGTGACCGTCCCCCGGGCATGTTTGCTCACCTCCCGTGGCTCTATTGAAGCTGGAAAAGCTCATGCATGTAAGGGTCTCACCTGGAGGTGGGTCCCAGGCTGTGCACAGCCAGTGGCCGCCCGGGATTTTCTTCCTGGCGGCGTAACTGACACTTTGTGTCGCCGCTGGAATTATCGACAGCATGCACAGAGAAAGGCCTACGTTGTCGGCTTGGGCCTTCGCACAATACAGGGTTTACTGCTCATTTAAAACCGGAAAGCAAATAGAGTTTTCAAAACTCCTTATGCGTCAGGGGAATCTGTCTCTTCCTGGTTATCTGGTGGTATTTATGGACCCTTTGCTAAATATAAGGGCGTGCCTGTCACTTCACAAATCTGGAGACGGGCTGCTTTTCTATAAATATCAAAATGCCACAATTATTTCATTATTTAATCTCCATCTGAATTTGGACCAATTGCATCTCCCTTTTTGTTGTTATCCGCTGATGTTGTCAGCCCAGAGACCCAGAGGCTGTGAGCTTGGCCGCTGCAGGGGAGCGTGGAGTAGGGAGGGAGAGAGGCAGAGGCAAGAGGGGGTGTTCTTGGCTCCACCTCTGAGCAAATGAGCAGGGAGCCACTGGGCCCCCCCAACAACATCCTGGGCTCCGATCCCAGCTCAGTCTTTTCCCAAACGTGCGATCTTGGGAAGGGTCCAAGCCTCAGTTTCCTCATCTGTAAATGGGGGACGATGATTCTTCGGTCCCCCAGGCTCTCATGCCCACCTCCCAGCTCCACTGTACATTCCGAGGGGTTGGGCCGCGTCCATGTCTCCTCCAAGCGATCAGCCCCATGTCCACCCGACGTGCTCAGGGCCTCATCACTGACCGATTCCAGGCAGGGAAAAGGCTACTGAGGGCCACGTGGTTGTGTGGCTGTGCCCGTGGGTGCCAGCATCCCCGGGCCTCTGACCCTGAGCTCCGTACGGCAGCTGGGAGGCTGGCGGGGAGTTTCATGGACTCTTCATTTAGCAACTGCAAGAAGAGCGGGCAGGTGTGGCTGGGCTGTGAAGGGCAAAAGCACTGAAGTCTCCTTAGGAAGAGGCGCTCGGCTTCAAGCTGAGGCCCAGAGATGGACAGCAGCTTGCCTGAGAGCACACAGCACACTGTTGGCCAAGCGGGGTCGGGGACCGTGGGTGAGCCAGGAGGCTGAACCCTTAATGCTGTGCTTCTCTAAGGGTCCAGCTCCTGCTCAGGTTTTCCCTGAGATGCCTGCTCAGTAGGCGCACGTGCTGGGGCTTCGTGGATCCCGCGGGACTGTAATCATAGGAGTAAAGCGGGAAGGAGGCCTTCAATGTTCCTGGTTCACTTCAGCGCACAGGTGCATTCCCGCTGGCCCATCTTTGACGAGTGGGCCGGCAGGTGTGGTTCCATGGCCTCCTCTTTGCCCAAACCTCACCGACAGGTCGTCCTGCAGCCCCATCCCAGTGCAGAGGCTTTTGAACGCGGGCAAGACCATCAGAGCCCTCGCCAAGCCTCTGAGGTGTGTCCGAGCTTCCCAAAGCCACGGCAGCGTCTCACCCCACCTGACTCAACAGCACCGTTTTAGTTAGCTGCCTTTATCAAGTCTCTCCAAAGCCCTCAACTTAGTTTCCATGGAAACCATGGCTCTTTCTTGCCACACGGGTGTTGCTTGGTGTGTGTTCATTGAATCTTGTGATAGCCCTGGCAGTGTGTCTGCCTGGCGCCAACAGGTGTGGGGACAAGGCAGCCGGCTCTCGGTACAGACTGTAGGTGGGAGCAGGGTAGGGTGACCGGTGCAGCCTCCTGGCTGTGGGTGGGTGGGGGGCAGTCTGCCGGGGCGGGGGAGGGAGGACCTTTGCTCACCTGCCCACCGTCTTCCAGGCCAGCGCGACTCCTCGGGTATCCGTCTGTACTACACGGCCACTCTGCGGCGTTTCGACGCGGGGGTCATGGAGCTGGGCCTGGTGTACACGCCCGTCATGGCCATCCCCCCACAGGAGGAGGCCTTTGTCCTCACAGGCTACTGCACGGACAAGTGCACCCAGATGGTGAGTGGGACTGCCTGGCACCGCCCTGGTTCCCCTGCTGAGGCCCTACAGGTGGCCGCCAAGGAAGGGCGGCTTAGTGGCTTGGATTCCTCCACCCTAGATCTCTCTGCAGCTTCACCAGGGCCCCTGTACCCTCTGTGCACAGCGGAGCCTTCCTGCGGGCCCGTTCACACCTGCACCCCCCTCTCCCGCAATGACCAGGTGCCCACTTGTCCACGCCACATGCCAGCACTTCCAGGCACTCCATTTTAAAACATGCACTGATGCCGTGTGTGGGTAAGATAGACACGTGTTCACCACTAAAAATGCAGGCAGCGCAGCTCAAGATAAAGCCCCCTGGCTCGGTGCCCTCGGCCTTCTCCCCGAGGTAACCACTCCGTGGCTGTGTCGTGTTCTTCCGGGCACCTCTCCTGCATATTTCTGCATGCCCTCATACGTGGGGTGTCCAGAAACAAACTGAATAGTGACCGGTGTCCTGTGACTCGCCTTTTCACCGCTTCTTAGCACTGCACAGTCTGTTTCTCACTGTGGACGTCACTGGGATGGGCCAAGCTAGGCCAGTGAGGTGCCCAGGGCGTAAAATGCCAGGGAGCCCCGGTTCTTGGGACCGTGGGAGGGCAGGTCAGCACTTAGACCCAGAGCACACAGTGGGAGACCCAGTTTCCGGGGGGTACAAGTGACCCCCCCCAAATCCTGTGCCCTCAGGCTCTGCTTGCCTCACCCAGCCCCGGCCTGTGCTGAACTGTCCCCTCGTCACTGGAGCCCAGGAGGCTGTCAGCTTGTCCCAGGCGGGAAGAAGGCTGCCGGGGGCCCTGTGTGCACGGGAAACACTCTTCAGTCTGATTCTAGAAGTGAAGTTGCCCCACACAGACGAGGGAGCTTTAATCTGAATTAATTTGGCAAAATGCCCCCCAAAGCCCGTTCCCACGCAGTACGAGAGGGTGCCCGGTTCCCAGACTTTCCCACCCACCATGTTATCAATAGTTTATGTATTTTCTCAGCCACTTGGGAGAACATTGCACTGCTGTTCAGTGCAAATCTCCCCAACTGCAGAATCTGAGGATTTTTTTTCATCTGTTGGCCATTTGCTCTTTTCTGGAGCTATCTGTTCATAACCTTGGTCTAGCTTTTCTCACAGGTTGCTTGTCTTGCTATTGGTTCTAGTTCTTTCTATGTTATCTGGCTGATATTTCAGCATCTGTTGTGAATGTTGCGAACCCTTCGTCCCACAGGGAACCTTGGCTTCTCAGAAAGGCCTGTGAGGTAAGTGTCGCCACCCCATTCCACAGATGAGGAGACTGAGGCTTGCCGGATCTCAGCGCCCGCAGTGGTGCTTCCGCCCTCCGAGCTATGTCACCGCAGCGGACAGTTTCGTGGTGTGGTTTACAGTGGGTCTGCCTTCTCGTGGGCTCCCCAGCCTCCAGGTCCTCTGACCATGAGGCAATCAGAGTGTCCTCAAGATGAAGGGTGACAGCTGTCAGGCTGGGCAGGACACGTTTGGTCCTGTGTACACCAGCTCATCTTGTCTGAGACAAGGGGAGAGGAATCGCAACGACACCCAGCATCTGACGTGCTTCCCGTGTCCCCAGAGCTCCCGTCAGTGACATATTTTGTTGTGTGGAAACCCCCAGGCCTGGGCCTGGGCCTGGGGAGTGGCCTCCTCCTCGGGGCTCGGAGAGAGTAGCCCTAGGCCAAGTTATTGCCTGTTGCAGGGACTCAGGTCACCTTGACCTGCTGACCTCAGCATGCCTCTTGCTGGCCTGAGAACGTGGACCTGCCTTCTCTTGCCAGAGTCTCCAAATATGTTACGGCAGCAAGATAAAAAGAACTGTTTCCTCTTCTTCCCCTTCCACAGCACGTGGGTCTGTGTGGTTAGACGTTGCATCTGTGTGGGACAGTCATTGAAGGGACTCCTCTCTGTCAGCAGATCGCCGAGGGGCATACATTCTGCATTCAGCCTGGTGTGCTCTAGACTTTTGTCTAACTAGACAAGCCAAGGAAAAGTGTAGTGTTTCAGAACACAGGGCCCCGGGACGGCATATCCCCTCCACCCATCAGGGAATCCCAGGGCCAGTGGTTGGCCTCTGGGAGTCAGAGGGGTAATGCAGGGCCCCATGTGTTAGCAGGGAATCCAAGCCTGGCCCACATTGTCACAAATGTGGCCATAAGGTTTCCCAGCCTGCAAATCATTGCAGGGGGGCAAAAAACTGTCATTAACAAGGGCAGGGACAGTAGCTGGTGGAGGGCAGGACGGAAAGCACAGAGGTGACATGAGGTGACTTGCAGAAGCACACAATTGGTCACTCGGCAACAGGGCAACGGCTCAAGGAACTGCTTGAGCTTCCGGCAGTGTAGACGAAACAGAGCAGAACGCGGGGGTGCATGCGCAGGGAGATGACTGAGTCGTGGAGGAAAGGCTGCAGCGTGTGATCCATTTTAGGAAACGTTCTATCTAAACAGAGTTAACAGTAGGTTGGGGAAAACGACCATTGTCTGGAAAATTCCCTTATGCCCTAATGCAAAGCGAGGCGCCTGGATGGGAGGGCTGGCCCGCTTCTTCTGTGCTGCCAGCTGCCAGCTCTGGTGGCCAGTGCTACAGCTAGAACATGAGGTGACGGTGACAGCAGGGGAAGGCCACCTGGCGATCACGCAGGGGTCACGAGCTCATGCTGAGGGGCAGCTAGGGGCCTGCGACGTTGGATGGGACCCAGCACTGTGGCCACCGGACGTGAGCCTGCAGAGCCAGGAGCCATGCTGTGCTCACCCTGGCAGCCCCTGCCCACAGTCGCTCGCCTTCAGGTCTTTGAATTAACACAGAATAAATTATTGGCCTCCAGGGGCTCAAGACGGGCCTGAAAGGAAGCCACCCACACCCTAAGGAGCCTCCGGGCTCTGGGCCAGGCAGCTGCTAGGGAAGAGCTGGGTGACGTGGCTCTTAGGGGATGATCATTTCCTTTTAAGTTTTCCGATGGGGATTTAACTAACGGGGAGAAGAAAGAGCAGGCCCAGGAATGCCAACGTCTGAGGGCAGCAGCCTCGGGCATCGCTGCCCCGTGGCCCACAGTCGGTGCCGGTAACCAGTGGAAGGCAGTTGTCAGGGTTCCCACATGGTCAGGCTCTGACCCTGCGCCCCCTGACCCCGCAGGCCCTGCCTCCCTCGGGAATCCACATCTTTGCCTCTCAGCTCCACACACATCTGACGGGGAGAAAGGTGGTCACCGTGCTGGCCCGGGACGGCAGAGAGAGGGAGATTGTGAACAGGGACAGTCACTACAGCCCTCACTTCCAGGTAGGGACCACCCCACCCCATAGGGGCCTGTGTGACCTCTCTCCCAACAGCCGTAGCGGCACCCCAGTGCCAGGGTTCCTTCTCCTGAGCTAGGCCCAGACACCTTACAAGGTGCACAGCAGCCAGCCCGTCCCCCTTGGGGATTTAATCTAACGAAGGGACTCTGGTGGGTGGCTGATTGCGGGATTTGGGGGACCCAAGCAGACCAGTAACCTCTGTCTTGGAAACCACCATCTTGTTCTAGTCCCTTCCTGTCAGAGGCCAAACAGCCAGCCTTAGCTTCCCTCAAGGGTCTGAGACAAACGTACACCCCAGAGGGCTGGGGAGGTGGCTGGAGTTGGTCAGCAGCTTTCTGAAGTTCCCCCTTTTCTCCATCCCTCCCCACCTCCACCCCCCACCCCCGGCTCTGCCCACCCAGGAGATCCGCATGTTGAAGAAGATCGTGTCTGTCCACCCAGTGAGTGTCCGGTCAGAGCTGGGAGTGCGGTCCCCAGAGGGCAGAGACAGAGAGTGATGGGGGTGGGTGGGCAGGGCCAGTGCGAAGGTCTTCTACAGCCATGTCTGTGCAGGGCAAGGGCTGGGCCGTCCCACGGTGAGACTCACCAGCACTTCACAGAAGAGGTCTCGAAGGGGGTGGGACCAGATGGCATTCCAGGCGATGTGCATCTGCCTTCCTGGTCAGCTGAACACAAAGCCCGAGGGCTTCAGGGGAAGATGAGGGCATGGAAATCACCGGTGGGGCTTCGAATAACGCAGAAGGGAGCCCAGGCCAGGTGGGGCTTGCCTAAGTTCACTAGTCCACACAACCACTAGCCGGCCTGCCTGTGGCCCACGTACTAAGAAGCCTCAGAAGCCAACAGGTAGTCACTCCCTGGGGACTCAGATTGTAACCATCACAGCTGGGCTCCTCAGTAATGACTGATGGGACAGGCCTAGCGCACCTGTTCCCCCACGTGGGCAGGTGCTGACAGGTGTCTGTTGGCTTGGTTCTGCAGGGAGATGTGCTCATTACTTCCTGCACATACAATACAGAAGACAGGACGCTGGTCACCGTGGTAAGTCTCCCTGGCTTCTCGTCGCCCGCCTGTGGCCTGGGGCTTCTGGCTCAGGACTGTCTACACTTTCACGAGGACAAGTCTTAATTCCTCACCTAGAGTCTAGGCTGCTGGGGGGCAGGGGTGCCCTCCCTCATTCACTCATAAACCAGCGGTTCTCACAGCATGGCTGGACGGCACAGAGCTCCACTTGGCACCATTCGATCGAAGAGGGAGTGAAAGAAGGAATGCACTGAACAAATGGAAGCGCTAAAGCCGACGGCAGCGTCTGAGCGTGCAGGGCCAGTGCTGACTGTCCTCTTCTCCGTCTCGCAGGGGGGCTTTGGCATCCAAGAGGAGATGTGTGTCAATTACGTGCACTACTACCCCCAGACGCAGCTGGAGCTCTGCAAGAGTGCTGTGGACCCCGGCTTCCTGCAGCAGTATTTCTACCTCGTGAACAGGTGATGGCTCCCAGAAGTGTGCCCACCCTGCTCTCTGTCCTCGGGCATGGCAGGGGAGCCCCAACAAAGAAACCCCAGGCTCTGTTAGGCAGCGGGGCAGGCTCTCAGAGCAGGACAAGCATGCATGTGGCAACCACACCTCCACCGCCCCAGAGGAGCCTGTGGCAGGCATCACTAGTCGATCCCCTGCACTAGTTTTCTGCTGAGCCTAGACTTGGCCTGAGAGGCCCCCTCAACCCAGCCCTGGAGCAGCGATTCTCAGGTAGCACGAGAGGTGAAGCCTATTAGCCATCTCTGGTGTGGAGGCAGGGCCATGAAAGCCTGTTAGGAGGCCCAGTAGAGGCAGCTGGGCTGAAGGGCACTCTGGGACCTCACCCCGTCTGCAGGGAGGTGTCACCTGTGCTCTGCTGGGCTCCCCCACCATCTGCACACCCCAGACTGGGCTGTTCCTTCCCCCTGCCAGGTTCAACAGTGAGGAAGTCTGCACCTGCCCTCAGGCCTCCGTGCCCCAGCAGTTTGCCTCTGTCCCCTGGAACTCCTTCAGCCGCGACGTCCTCAAGGCCTTGTATGACTCTGCCCCCATCTCCATGCACTGCAACAAGTCCTCGGCCGTCCGCTTCCAGGTATGTCTGCCGGGGTGGGGCGAGGGGTTGGGGGGTGAGGTTGGGGGTGCACACAGTGAGTCAGGTGGGCAACCCTTGGCCACGCCCTCAGCCCTTGTCAGGGCCCCTGCAGCTGCCCACCTCTCTGACCCTGTGCCTACATCAGCCCCAGCTTCTGCAGATGCCCAGTGTGAGGCGGTAGGGCTCTCCTCCAAGAGGCTGGCAAGAAGCACTCACACCAGTTAGAAAAATCAGCTAGTGACAGACAGGCCCGCAGAGGGAGAAACCATAGCACCCACATGGGCAGGCGGCTATCCTCTCCTGGGCGTCATCACAGGACTGATCTTGGTGGTGTGAGCAAGGGCGCCAACAGCCTCCCCCAGAGCCTAAAAATAAAGCAAGGGTGGGGGGCAGGTGAGAAACCAAACAGTCGGAAGCTGGGAGCTGGTTGGCCTCCTTATCCGAGACACACTGGGATGGAAGGGCGGCTCATTTATCCCCCAGGGAGCTGCCTGTGGGAGGCAGTGCGGCTGAGTGAGGCACCTTCGGCTCTGCAAATCCAGGAGGCTGATTTCCTGGGAACATTTAGGAGCTGGATTAATTGCTAACGCAAACATTTCCAGCCCCAAGGGAAAGGCTGACACTGGCTCCTCTGAGACCAGCGTGGGGTGGGCATCTGGTGTGGCTGCAATCACGGTATTTTTGCAGCCTGTGCAGAGAAATGGCTAAAACCTCAGCCTGTACCCAGAGGCTCTGATTGCTTTGTTCGGGTGAAGATTGAAGTGAGGGTGGGCAGGGAGGTGGGCGGGCCAGGATGACCTCCAGAGTCAGGAGGGGCAGGAGAGGGTGAGTTTGGTTTGGAACAAGGTAAGTTTGAGGGCAAGAACCCAAGAGGCCATTGGGAAAAGTGGCTGGGGAGGTGGCACCCCGTTTTGCCCCTCCAGCCTCAATTTACCTCCTGGTCCCTTCCTTGCAGGGTGAATGGAATCTGCAGCCCCTGCCGAAGATCATCTCCAAGCTGGAAGAGCCTGCCCCTCAGTGCCCAGCAAGCCGGGGTCAGAGCCCCAGCTGCCCCACCGTGGTCAGCATCAATGGGGACAAAAGTTGAGTGGGGGCCATCTCCTTGCTCCCCCTCCTATGCTGTCCCTGTGGGTTCATGCCAGCTTTGTGCATCTGAGCTCTCTGAAGACCCCCATGAAACAGCTCTGTGTGCCCAGGATGGAGGAGCTGGACAATGCCCCTTCCTGAGACCTTGGTACATTCCAGCATTCTCCCCCTGCATGGCCAAGAGGACCCTGTGAGAGCGCCCCCTGTTGACCCACCAGGACTGGGAGAACCAAGACCCCCTCCACAGCCTTTCAACAAAGCGTAAGGATCACCAAGCTCAGTGGTCTAGAGTCCAGTGTCCCAGAATCCCTGCTCATCTTGCTAGGAGGGGCCAGTCCTCGGGGCACATGAGCCACGCTTGGCTGTGGGCAGACTCCCCCGCGTCCCCAGCCCCTACTGATGGAGATTTGTGCTGCTGTGATAAGTGCGCACACTAAACGTTTCCCTGCAGAGTGGCTCGTTTGTCACTGTGGGTGGCTTCCCTGCCCACGGAGGCAGGACAAGCCACTTAGCTCGTTAGAGACTTGCCTGGGAAATCGCTCCATTGCAGGGTAAATAGATATTTTCACCCACCTACAGGGAAACCCTCCCAACAACTCTTGCCACTGAACACAAGACGGCAAAGATCCAGGCGAGCATCAGGGCGCCAGCTCCAGGGGAAGCGGAGTTAGTAGCCCCAGGTTCCGCTGTCCTCTGTGGAACAAGCAGTTAACAGCCCCGGGAATGAGACCCGCGTTAGAAGCCTGTGACGCCTTAGTGCACAGTGACATAGGCAGACATTTCACCCCCTTGCCCCTCAGTCTTCTCCTCTGTAAAATAGGGCCAGTGCTATGCCGGCTAGCGAGACGGTAGAGCTCCCACACAGGACGGTCCCCGTGAACATTAATAGGGTGGCCTCGCCCCCAAGAGAGGACGCCTTGTCTGAGCACCCTCCCCGAGCTGGATCTGGAATGTGCCTCACGCTCTCCGGTCAGTCTCCACCTTCCTCTCCTCTGAGCTGCCTCCCATTTAAGGCCAAGTTCAGCTCTCTGGTGGTTTCTGCAGGGAGTAACAGATGAGGCTGTGTTCAGCCAGTTCAGCAAAACGCTGCACAGCCTCTAGAGAAGAGAGAGGGTGATGGATGGGCCTTCGTGTCCCCCCCACCCTTACACCCCAACAGACGTCAGCTAAGCGGCTGCTGCTCCTTCTGCAAACCACTTCATTACAGATGGGAACAAACAGGCACACACGCTCTGCACTGCAGCGTATAAATCACAGCCTCCCGCACTGTAAGTCACAGGACACCATTGCTGTCAAATGCCAGGCTCCAACAGAGGCTGGAGCACGGCCGGCCCTCTGTCATCTTTACAGCCTCGGATGGCAGGTGGAGGGGCAGCCCCTCCCTGCGAAGGGCGGGCCCTGGAGGGTGGCCTGAGCATGCCCAGCCTCTGGCCTTGGTCTTCTGGCTCAAGAAGACCCCTTTCCTCTGATCAAGTCCGTCTGCCAGCCCAGACAGGGGTCCCGGTCAGCCAGCGCCCTGGGAGAGACCCACAGGCTGTGGCCAAGCCTACCTCGCACCACCGAGCCCTGGCTGGCTGTCACCATTTTGTCCCCAAACACCCAAGAGGCACTTGTGGCATTCCAGTCTCACTGATGAGGGAATCAAGATTCACAGAGGAGAAATGCTCGCTCAGAGTCCCCTGGAGGATTAGTGGTGATTAGAAATCACACCCAGTTCCAGAACCTTCCGCCATCCACAGTGACACCCCCGCACTTCGCTCACTTTCACGCTCAGGCTGGTCCTTCTCTTCCTCCTGGGGGCAGCCTGCTGGGCTCCTCCCACCGAGACCACTGCTTGCGCGCTGCCCCACCCAGCTCCCAGCTCCGACAGCACCCCCTCCCGGGATTGTCATACCCAGTGCTGTTGATAAAGTTGCCGCCACACACACTGGTTCTGTGATAACACTCTTAATAAACCCACGACAGATGTGCTGTTTCTGCTCCCACTGACAGATGGGGAAACTGAGGCTTAGGGACCTAAAGTTAGGTGCCGACATCCCCAGAGGGAGTCGTGGAGCCCAGAAGTGGCCCCGGGTCTGACTGCAAAGTCTGGGCTGCCTACCTCTGTTTCCTTACTTAGGAAGCAGACACTGTCCCTGACCCTTGTGACAAAGACACCGGGAAATGCTTTATTACCTGAAAACTATCTGTCGAGGTGAGGGGCTACCTTGACCAAGCCTCTCATGACTCTCCAGGCTCCACAATCTTCTGACCAATTGGGGTGGTGGAGAGAGCCAGATGGGGGTCTGGGTTCCCATTCCTCCCTCTGCTGGGTGCTGGGCAAATTGCTTTCTCTCTCTGGGCCTCTGTCTCCTTGTCTGCTCATTGAGGAGAAGGTTCCCCAGCTTCCCGGGAACAGGGGCTGCTAGGGTGACAAGACCCATCAGCTGTGAAGTGCCCAGAGTCCCGGCTAATGTGTGCTATGCAGGGTCAGTGTCGAGAGGCCAGGGGTGTTCAGGGTGGAGGGTTCCCAGACTGCAGGCTCCAGCCAGAGCACGTGTGTCTGCCTGAGCTGGTGCCCGGATACGCCAGGGCCGTGCCATCTGGTGGCCATTAGCCTCGCGTGGCTATTTAAGCTTAGTTTTTTTGTTTTTTTTTTAAAAGATTTTTATTGGGGAATTGGGGGATGGGAACAGAGCTGGGGAATTGGGGGAAGAGGAACAGACAAGTTGCTGTCCTTTTGTTCTTCAGTCTAGTTGTGGAGGACGTTGCTTCACTGGCCCAAGTTGGCACCATCATTGCGCTCTTCCCGGGCGAGGCAGATCAGTCGCTGGCTTCTGGACGGCTGCTCACTGCGGCTGCTGGCCGCTCACGCTGGCTGCTGGCTACACACGGTAGCCCATGGCAACCCACTGCAGCAGGGGCTGCAGCCTACGCCGTCGCCAGCGACTCACAGCAGCCCAGCTCCAGGTTGAGCTGTTGTTCAGCATCTTAGCTGTGGAGGGCAGTGTCACTGGCCCTCATATGTGGGATCCGAACCAGGGCCCTCTGGCGTCCCAAGCCAGTTCTTAACCAACGTGCCACTCGCCCGGACCTAAGCTTAGTTTTAAACGAATTAAAATGACATAAAATGAAACATTCGGGTCCTTGACCACACCTGCCCCTTTTAAAACTCTCTGTAGCTACATGGGGTCGGTCCATGGCCACTGCACTGGACACTGCAGACGTACAGCATTTCCACACTGGGCAGCGCTGGCCCAGGGCTGTGGGTCCAGACAATGTCAGCTTAGCCGAGCTCCGTGGGCAGGAGCGGGGGGCACGTGGATCCTTGGCGCTGAGCCTCCCCCTAGCAGGCTGCAGCAGGCCCGACCCTGGCGGGCAGCTGGACCACCCCAGGGGTGCGGGTTCTCTACAGGGCCATTTTGGGCAGGACCAGTCTTCCTGGCTAAGGATAGTCCCTCCTGCTGTGGAAAGTTGGGCGTCCTTGCCCCACCCCCACTCCCGCGCAGTGTCAGGAGTGCCCTATTGTGACCACCAGAAATACCTCCATGGGACTCCAAATGGCCCCATGGGGACAGGCACCCTTCAGCTCCCCCAGCTGCCAAAGGATGGCTCAGTCCCTGGCGCCCACTCGCCCTCCTGATGGAGAAACTGAGTCCAGAGGTTCCTGGGTGCTCTTGCCTTCCTCCTGCTCTATTGCAGCCAGAAGAAAAGCTTCTCGTTACAGCAGCGCCCCCCCCCCCCCGCCTTAATCCCCTTCCTAAGCACCCTGAGGCTGGCGGGGCTGTGGCCCTTCTGACATGCCCTGAAACTGTGACAGTGACCCTGGGACACACACGGTCCTGTTTTTCCGTCTCTCGTGTCCTCTCCGCGTACCCCACCCCCATCACCCACAAACCCCGCATTTTCTGTATTTTCAGGAGGTTCTTGGATGGAAGGCAGCCTACTGTGTCCTGTGAATCCCAAACCAGGCACTTCTGTTTCCATGGAGAAGTCCTAATAGGGACTTGAGGAGCCTCACTAGAAGATTCTAGACTAGAACTCCGAGCTTCTGAACTTCAGAGGGGCTGGCTGGGTCTTGGCTGTTTGAGAACCTGATTTAAGTGGGTCTAGAAGCTGCCTTCAGCACACTTGCTCATAAGCAGAGGTCAGAACCCAGGATGGACCCGGGGCCATCACAATTGCCCCAAGCTGGCTCCACGTCCCCTAGTCCCTCTGGTCCTGGTTCACTCCCCGCAGGCCCCTCTCCTTCATCTGGTCTGAAATACTCATTAAACAGGAAAGAAAAGGGGCCAGTCGAGTGGTGCGTTGGTTAGGAGTTGGCTTGGGACGCCAGCTGTGAGCGGTAGGGCCCCAGTTTGGGTCCCACATGAGGGCCAGTGACACTGCCCTCTACAGCTAAGATGGTGAACAGCAGCTCCACCTGGAGCTGGGCTGCCGTGAGTTGCTGGCAACGGTGTAGGCTGCAGTGGGGCTGGCCAGCAGCGGGGATTGGCTTTCGTGAGCTGCCGTGAGCCACCGTGAGCATCTGTCCAGTGGCTGGCGAGCGACTGCCTTACCCAGGAATAGCACAATGATAATACCAACATGGGCCAGTGAAGCAACGTCCTCCACAACTAGACTGAAGAACAAAAGGACAGCAACTTGTCTGTTCCCCTTCCCCCGATTCCCCAATGCTGTTCCCCTCCCCCAATTCCCCAATAAAATCTTAAAAAAGAAAAAACCAGGAAAGAAAAGCACAGCTGGTAGATGGCCGTGAGGGCTAAGTAGATCAGGAGAGGGAGGTGGGTGTGGGGTGGCCGTCAGGGAGAGCCTTGCTGAGAAAGTGACATTAGTTAAGATCCTGAAGGGGGTGGGGAAGCGAGTTCCTGGGAACCTGGGGGAAGGCCTTCTGACAGAAGGAACAGCTGTGCAAAGGCCCTGAGGTGGGGGTGAGGCCAGCATGGCTGAGCAGAATGGGGGGACGGGAGGGCAAGTAGGAGCAGTAATGGGAGGCTAGGTGGACCAGGGAGGTGGCAGTGGGTGCGGAGATGGCGTCAGGCTCCAGATACAGTCGAAGGGCAAGCCAGTGGGATTTGCTGGCAAATTCTAGAATGTGAGAGAGGGCGAAGGACATCCCCACACAGCCTTCCACACCAGGACTCCCCAAAGACCTCAGCCAGCCGCCCAGAGGCACCAGCTTCCGGCCTGCGCGTGGACGCACTGTGCCCTCCCACCCCTTGTCCGGCACCAGGAGACATTAGCTGCTGCTCGGGGACCTTCGCCCTCTGCTCCCTCCCCAGCCAGGAATCAAAGCTTTGCCTGGGCTTTGATGCTGCCTCTTCCTCATCTGAGAAGGGATGTGCCCTCTCTTCTGAGGGTGGGGGGAAGAGGCAGGGACTTAGGGTCCCATAGTGGCAGTTGCTGGGAGCAGTCACCCCCAGGCCATCAAGCGCTGCCTCCTGACCTACTGCCGGGAGGGGCTCCGTGAGCCTGCCGGCATTTACAGGGTTAGCACGTTTGCAGGGGGAGCCTTGGGCTTTAAGCCTTTAATGTGGGGGAGACTGAAGAATAAAGCTAGGAGGGGAGCAAAGGCAGAACCAGAAAGGCTCATGCTGGAACGTTCTGGGGTTTTCCAGCACTGCCATGAGCCCCTCCCTGCCGGGAACCTTTCATTAGGTGCAGGCAGGAAATCAGGCAAGCCCTCCTTCCCAGGGGTGGCAGTGCGCTGGCTGCTGCACGTCGGGGTGTGCCGAGGCCCCGGCACCCAGCTCACACGGCTATGCCCTCCTCCCCGTGGCCCACAGGGTGCCCATTCTCTCCCTCACGCACCTGGGTGGGATCCTCGCGTGGAGGAGCGAGGCCCCTGCCAGGGTCCCAGGGCTCCTGTCTGGTGGGTCCTCTTCAAGCTCACTGCTCGGGGACCGAGAGCCAGATGGCTCAGCTGCCCACATCGCCAACGGCGACATGGGTAGGACAGTGCTCGCTGTCCTTGGGCAAGCCCTCTGGCCTCTTTGTACATTGTCCCCTAGGGTAAGGATGAGATGAGCACTCAGGCCCCACCCAGATGAAGCACCCAGGCTGGAGGGTGCTTCTGTGGGGGCAGGGAGGGTCCTCGGCCGGCAGACGCCCCGCTGGGAGCGTCCCCAAGATGAAGCAGAGCTCGTACAAGGGCTATACCCCTCACTCCCCCTTGGCAGATAAGGTGGTTGAAGCCCAGGAGACACCGCCCAGGTCACATGGCCTGGCAGGCCAACCCCAGGACCTTAGCACATGACAGGCTCCTTGTCCACATCACTGAAGCCTCCTAGTGCCTCTGCTTTCGTTGCCACTTTCATCAGCTGCACTGGAGGGAGGTGTGCCTCACGCCAGCTCTTGCCTGCAAGGCCTCAGAGAAGTAGGGGAACTGGGAGTCACTTGTGTTTCCTAATGCCAGGGGCCACAGGTCCTCACGGGGAGATGGGCACCTCGTCCCTGCCAGTCATGCTTCTTCTGTTTGCCACTTGGAGACCAAAGGCCACGTGCTGGTGTCACTCTGATGGGAACAGAGTGCTGGGTACAGGGATCTGAGACGCCTGTGTCTCTCACGGCCCAGTGCAGACAGCCTTCACTGCCTGTCCAGTCTGATGGACAGGAGCTAGCGGGAGAGTGGGTTAAGAGGGGGCCTGGCTCTGCAGGGTACCACCTTGCCCCGAGCTCCCTGCCAGGAGCCTCTGAGTTCCAGGCGCTGCTGAGGACACGGGGGGGCGCCTTTCTCCTCTCTCAACTTCCAGCCATTCTCAGCCCAGTTCCTGGCATGATGCTCACTTTGTCCAGAAAAACCTGCAAAACTAGATATGGCAACAGGTGTCTCTAGATCCAGAGTGAGGAAGGACTGGCCTGGAGTCGCTGGTGGGACGCGCCCAGAGGAAGGGTGACGCGGGGCGGTGCAGGGCGCAGCAGTGGGACAGGGCACGGCCTGGACCTTCCTGCAGCAGTGCGAGGAGGCAGCTGAGTGCGGAGGCGGCTCGTGAAGGCCTCTTCCATGTGGTCCTGGCGCACTCCAGAGGGTCCAGCGCTGTTCCTCCCCAGGGAGTGGCAAATACCAACAGGAGCAAAGCCTGCACAGGTCTGTTTCTGAGGAGCAGGATTGGAACCCGGGTCCGACCTCCTCCTCCTCAGCCCCTCCCCCCGGACAGGCTGTAGAATGAACACGTGCACAGGCCCATCCAGGGGTCTGCGGCCAAACCAGAGCCTAGAGGAGCAAGCCAGGCCACCTAGGCAGGCAGCTCCCCCTCCTCCTTCGGCCCCTTGGGGTCCAGTCAGCCACCCGCACCCTAGGTGCTGGAGCCAGGCCTGAGGTGAGCAGGGGAGGCCGTGGTGTTCCTTCGCCTGAGGCCTGGGAAAGCCAGAGGCCCCCACTCCCGGCCCCAGCCCGTGGTCTGGCAGCGGGGAAAAGGCCAACTGAAACCCAAACTCCTTCAGCGACTCTGACTTTATTTGCCTGACCTGTTGCAGCTCAGCCTGGAGCGGGGCTGCACGAATGGCCCAGCTCTGTTGGGCTGCTTGGCCCCTGGGGACGAAATCCTGCCAGAGGCGAGGGGGGAGGGCGACCTGGGCATAAGGGCGGGTTGGCCAGGCAGGGAGCAGGGTCACATGACAAATGAGAGCTCTGAAGGCCCAGCGAAGGGCAGCAGGGGAGTCACCCCCTTTTAAGGCCCTGTGCAAGGTCCTTCCCCCAGCAGCTGGAAGACAAGGACAGCGGCTATGTCCTAACCACGCAGCGAGGACGAAGCCCACCCAGACTGGAGGGCTCTGTCCGGTTCTCACTCAGACCTGGACGTGAAGGGGCTCCTGGGGAAGCTGAGGCAGGAGATGGCCTTTCTGCGTGGGGGAGGGAGGCGCTCCCACCCCTTGCTTCTGCTCACCAGCTTCACAGGCTGGTGACTCTCAGGTGGCTTTCCCGTGGGAAGATCTGAGAGGTCAAGGCAGGGAGAGCTTTCTTTCTAGATTTCCCCCCTCCTGGGAAAGAGACCATCCTGCCGGATGGCCTTGCTGACAGGGATGGTGCCAGTCGGCACATGTGTTCTATGCCTGTAACACTGTGCCCAAGGCAGGCATTGCTAGCCAGTCCCGCTCTGCCCCTGGTTCTGGAGGCACCTCGCAGCTCAGAACAGCGGGTGAAGGCTCTTTCCCGCCCTGCTTTTACGTTGGGCCTATTGATGTTTACGTGACACTTTGTAAGAAGCTTGTTGTGGTCCCTGAGCCCAAGATGTTACAGGTCTGTCTTTGGGGGGGGGAGGGGGCGTGGACTAGAGACCACCCTTTGGTCAGTGGCCACAGGACAGGCCCTCTGGGTCCTCTTCCCACGCTCTCTGTCTATATCTGTATCGGGGGTTAGCAGGCCTGGACTGAGGACAGGCGGATCCAAGTTCTGGCTGGGGACCAGGTCCTGGGGCCCAGGGCAGTGTGGGCCCCGTGGGACAATGGTGTGGGATGGGGCGGGTTGCTGGCTTCCTGTGCGGCTGAGGCCCTGCCCATGGGCCCCATCAATAGATTCCCTTCACCCTCTTGTTGTCAGGGTCAAAAGGAGATTTCAGATGAACCCGAGCAGGGTAGGTCACCCCCATCCTCTCCAGGGCGTAGTCCCCACTCTTCACGAAGTCCAGGGAGACCTAGGAGCAGAGGAGGGGGACGTGGTCACTTGTTACTTCCTGGTAGGAGCTGGGCTCACACCTGCCCGCTTCTCAGGAGGGGCGTCTCGGCGTCGCTTCCTCTCCTGTGGGTAAACCCATCACTGAGCCAAAGTTCCCTTCTCGGAACCGAGGAGCTACCTGACCGTAGAGCCTGTGTCCCTGTGCCCTGGAGTTGGATTTGAGCAGCTGGGGCCAGCAGAGTCTCTGTCTGGGCAGCAGTCACACCCAGGGCCGGGCCACAGGGGCGTGTGAGGCCTCTTCTCTGGGAAGTGGACGGGGACCCCCCTTTCCTGGCAACTCAGGACCCGGTGAAAAACATGAAAAACAAACGAGGCTTTTGATGTGACTGCAATGTTAGGAGTGAGGAAGCTTCTAGACCTGACTTCTCAGCCGTGATGTGACTTCTGAGCCATGACGTGTACGGGCAGATCTCAAAGCTCCATGTGCCCCCAGGGGTACAGGCCACTGGTGCCTAAAGCAGTGGGTAACCCAGAGCTGGCAAGTGGTCCCTACTAATAAACAGCCTGGATGCCCCAAATTCTGCTCCAACACCCAAAGGCTTTCCCTTCGATGGGCAGGTTCCCACTTTTATGAAGGAATCTTGGCTCCCCCACTGCATGTTGGTAAATATTTAACAACAGGCTCTCCAGGGAGGCTGGGGGTCCTGATGTAGCATTTGCCCTTATCTGTAGTATAAATACTCAGGGTCCCTGATGGTGGAGTTGGGCAGATATGGACACAGCTGGTCCTCACAAGGCAGCCTCCACTGGTCATCCTGGGCTATTTGTCTGGGTAACGTGTCAGCTTTCTTCCTCAGTCACATTAATGATAAACCCATGCCCGGTCAGATAGAAAGGCCAAGTACTGGTCTGTAAAAGAGGTGACTGGGCCTGCACCCACCCCCTCCCCAGCAAGGGGTGGATGCAGAGTTTGGCTGGGGCCCAGGAGTCTGTATTGGGGGTGTCAGAGAAGGTCCTTTGTCCCTGCCTGATGCTGCCACCAGCCACGGCAGCTCGTCATCACAATTGCTGCTTCTTAAGTCCCCACTCTGAGTGGTGATCTGTGAGGCAGGTGGGAGTCAGTCCTCACTTTACAGCTGAGAAAACTGAGGCCAGAGAGAAGTCCTTATCCAAGGTCACAGAGCCAGTCAAAGGCACAGCCCCAAGGCCAGTGGCGCCCAGTCTCCCGACCCACTGCAGGTGTGGCCTTGCTGGAGGCCCCAGCAGGCGCTGCTGGGCCCCTTCCCCTGGGGCCTACGCGCCAGGCCCAGCATGCCCCTGCATCCCTGCCTGGCTGGTCTGACTCACTTCCGCCTGCCTCGCCCTCGCTGCCTGTCCCAGGTGTCCCTCCCTCCAGAGTCTGGGGTGGGGTGGGAGCTGCAGCCTAGAGCTGTCCAAGACCGTCAGGAGCTCAGGATAGAGAGCTCTGGGGCCAGGCCCAGCTGGGTGGGCCTCCCAGCCCCCACGGCCAGAGCCTTCACGGCATCAGTGTATCAGCTGTCATAGGGCTGGCGTGGGACTCTTAGGAGGCAAGTGGGTGAAGCCGTGATGGTGCTGGCAGTGACCACGAGCCCCTTCTCCTCCTCATGTCACAGCACCCGCCTGTCCCGCTTGAACATCAAGACCCCTGTGGCTTAAAGCCCCTGCAAGCCCTCACGGCCCTTTCTCTGCCCCTCCCCCACATGTACCCAGGGAGGCATCTGTGCTGGGGGGCGGAGACTATTTGGATTTCTAAATGGTTGTTTGGGCAAAAGGTTTAGATTTTCTCCACCTGGATCATGCCATCCCTTCTCACTACCAAGCTCCCAAAATGTGCCTGTGTGTACACATGTGTCTATGTGCGTGCATAATGCCAGAATGTGTGCACAGGCTGTGTGCACCTGTGTGCAGGCATACGTGTATACACTGATGTGTGTACACAACTGTGTGTGCACAGGTATGCACACGTGTGTGCCATGTGCACTGTGAGGGCGTGCGTGTGCATGCATGGCACCATGTGGGGAGCAAGGGACCTGCCAGCCAGGAGTGTGTGAAGCTGCACGCTGTGCTCTGAGAGGCGCCTGCCTGGGTCCAAGCAGGCGGGACCCTCATGCAGCCTCCAAGCATAGTCAGCCTCGGTCCTGCTGGTCCTCAGCCTCCCAGCTGAAAGGAGGAAACTGAATTAGAAGGCGGGTGCCTCCCCAAGTGGGACTTTCTTCAGGCCCTGAGCTGGGGGGTGCAGAGTGAGCGGGAGCCAGATACCAGTGGGGTGTGAGGCCACTCTGCATGGGGCTATGGTAGGGACAATCTGGGAGCAGCTAAGATTCGGGAGATTACTGCCTGTCCAGGAAGTCTGAGGCGCTGAGCCGGGAAGTGATGGTGCCATGGCAAGGCTGGCGGGGCAGTGAGGGCCGAGGCCAGGCACTGCTCGGGGGCCAGGAGGGCACCACTGCAGCAGGTCAGCACTTCGGCTCTGAGCCCCACTTCCTGGGCCAGGCTGCCGACAGCTGGGGGACCTTCAGCAGAGACTCAGCACCGACCAGAGGCGATGCACAGATAGCACCAGGGCCTGCCGCAGGGCTGCAGGTGGACGGGATGTGTGTGAAAAGCGCCCAGGGAAAGGCGCTGCCCCTGAACCATTCAGTCCTCTATTCCCTCGGCTTCTACAGATGGGAGATGACATCACATACTCAAGGTGCCAGGCAGAGAGCAGGGGGCGACAGAAAGCCCAAGACAGCAGCGGCCTCTCCAAGCCCAGAGCTGGGAACTGGGTAGAGGGGCCTCTGGGTCGGGGCCTGGGGCAGGGGAAGGGGCCTCGCTCAGGCTTGGGGCAGATGGCGGAGAGTCTCCTGTGGAGGCCTCAGCACGGAGAGCTGTGGCCCTGCTAACGGGCGGCTCCGCCCTCGGCCTGAGCCCCGGAAGAGGATGCAGGGGCCACCCCTCTGGGGAGCCTTCCGTCTCCTCCCTCCCCGGGCCATCCAGGGGGGCCTCTGCACTTGGCCATGATGTTCGTTTCTCTGTCCACTGCCCCTCTCCCGCTCCTGGGGGGCCAGCTGGGTCTCGCCAGCTCTGCCCGCTGGGGGAGGGGGAATTCCTGGGATGTGTCTGGATGAGGAGGGAAAGGACGATCATGGGTTTTGGCCTCTGATCTGAGTCCAGGCCTCTGCCCGCCCTGGAGTCCACCGGGAGCATAGGGTGGGTGGCAGCTCGAGGGTGGGGTCTCTGGCCCGTGGAGCAGAGGGTGCCAGCCCCGCCCAGAGCCTCCTTCTGACCAAGAGAAGCCTGGAGCTCACAAAGTCAGATCTTTTCAGAAAGAAAATACAGGAACAGATGCCGACTCTGCCCGGAGACACGGCCCCATCAGTCAGTCACCTCACTGTGCTCCCGTCCCCCTGTACCCAGCACGCTTGGAGCCTGGAGAAGAACCGGGGCTCCCCCGGCAGCCCCGGGAAACGGGACTCACCGGCCCGCCGCTGGGGTCCCGGATGTAGCCGTAGGCGAGGGTCTTGTCGATGGTGAACCCAAAGTCAGCCCTGCGGATGTGGCCCACCACTTGGCCGTTCCTCCAGATGGCCTCCAGCCCAAACATGGGCACTTTCCTGGAAGAAGCAACAGAGAGCTGGGACCCCAGAGCCCCCTACCCCAGGAGACACCTGCGCTTTGGCCTGGCGGGCGACAGAGGGACGTGGACCATGCCCGCTGCAGGTGGTGGCTGGAGTCCTGTGAATCCTACACTGAGTGGAAGAGGCTGGCCAGGGTCTGCGTGCCTCCTGGTCTTGGAGCAAAATGGTCTGGGCCCCACCTGTCCAGGGGGTGAGGGTGGGGTGGAAAGAGGTTTTGTAAACATGTCCGTGTCTCCTTCGGTCTCACCCCAGTCCTCCGTCAGTGCCATGTCCGTGTGAGGAAACAGGCTCAGGGAGACCACCCGCCTCACCCACGACCCAGAGCAAAGCAGTAGCAGTTCTCTGCGCCTCCACAGCCAGCATCCCGTCCACGTCTCTCCTAAAGATCGGGACAGCAAGCCGCAGACCCCCAAACACCCTTCTGTCTGTGTCCCCAAACCACAGCTGAGCTACTCCCGGGGAGGTGGGCGAGCAGCCTGACACGTAGCCTGACAGGAGCAGGGAGAAGCTGCGGGATGTTGAGAAACCACAGCTCTGCCCACCCTCCGCCTCCCTCCCCTCATCACCCCTGACACTCCTTTTGATAGTTCCAGAAACCTGGGAGCAGTGCTGGCTCTCAGCTCCCAATCAGCAAAGCTGGAGCTGCCACCGTCCTAAGACTGCTGCTACTCAGATTCTTGTCCAGCACGTACTGTCATCTCAGAGTGACTCTGCCCAAGTGGAATCCAGAGACAGCACGGGCAACAAGCTAAAGCCATCGCTTGGGGGAGAGTGGTGGGTCAGGCCCCTTCCCACAGGGGTTCTCCCTCCACCTCTGCTGTGTGGCTGCCATGAGCCACCCGTCCCTTGGTACCCGAGGTCTCCAACTGTAAGTGGGGATGGTGGCCCCAGCCTGGCCCTTCCCCCCACCTGTCCCCCATCCCTGACATGGGGAGGATTTTACAGGAACACAGTGAGAGGTCACAGCACCCGTGACTGGGAGCTTAGCTCCAGGCAGGGCTAACCCTCCTGAGACCCGAGACCCAAGGCCTGGATCCTCACCTGAGCAGTGGCTTGGCAGGGTCTTTCTCTTTTAAAGTGTGCATTGGAAGAGGGCACGTCCTCCCCATGTCCCCATGGGTCCTGCTGACCCTGCCCTTCCAGATGGACTTAGGCCCACGGGACACTCACTCGTCCACAGTGAAGCACACCAGGCGCCGTTGGAGGCCTGCGGCCCGCTGCTTCTCCAGGGCCTCGCGCCCCAGGAAGGGGGTGGTGGACTTGAGCTTGCAAGTGAAGGCCAGGCCTGCCTCCAGGGGGCTGTCGTCTGACCGCAGGTCTGCGTGCCAGTGCCGGTAGCCTGGGCAGCGGAGGAGGACCCAGGCTCAGTGCCCCTGGACCAGACACCCGCCAGCATTCCAGTTTCCACACCATGGACTGGAGGTGTTGGGCAGGGGACTTGTGACAGGGCCCTGGCAGACTCCCTCAGGGACACTAGGCGCTGAACCCAAGCCCCACTCTGGCCCCTGCCCCCACACCACTGGGCAAGCGCCCATCACCCCACCCCACTGAGTGCAGGTGTCGGACATCCCAGCACCGTCCCTGGGCCTGCGTGGAACACCCAGTTCATGGGTCTTCAAGGGAGGCTTGGGGAAATGGACAGTGTGGGGGGAAGTGGAAAGTGTAGTGGGGTAGGAAGGGTGGCAGATGTGGAGGCAACACCTTCTCTGCCTCCAGCGTGGTTCCAGCCACCAGGGCCATCCGGACTCTGGACTCACCTTTCTCAATGCTCAGGGAGTCGATGGCCCGGTAACCCGCGTTGACGAGGCCGTGCTTGGCCCCTGCTGTCATCACGGCCTGGTACACGGGCACACAGGACAGCTTCGGGATGTGCAGCTCCCAGCCCAGCTCCCCGACGAAGGACAGCCTCATGGCCCGGACCTGGGGGGACACTCACAGCTCACACACAGGCTGGGGTCAGACAACTGAGGTCGAGGCCCAGCTGCCGCTTACTGGAAGACAGTTCCTGCTGTCATCATTATTATTACATTAGTAGCTGGTCCGGGGCCCAAGCCAGCTCCTCACTAAAAAGTGGGGTCCCCCAAAAAGTTTTTCCAGGAGCACTCTGGAATCTTTAAGGGGAGAAGGGGCACCAACGTTGTGAGCAGGGAAAGGGGACACGCAGTTCCCAGGCCTCGGCCCTTCTTCTAAGTGACCGTGAGCGTCCTGGGGCCTCCAGAACTAAGGACCACAAACTGGGAGGCTTAAAAGAGGAATGGACTCCCTTCCAGTCTGGAGGCTCGAAGCCCAAAATCAAGGTGTCGGCCGGCCTTGCTCTCTCCGGAGGCTCTGGGGGGAAATCCTTCCAGCATCTCCCAGCTCCTGGGGGCCCCAAGCACTCCGCGTCACCCCAGTCTCCATCGTCACATGGCCTCCCCTCTGTTTCTGTCCTCTCTTTTGTCTCTTATCAGGACACTTGTCACTGGATGCAGTGCCCACCCTAATCCTGGATGAGCTCATCTCAAGATCTTTACCTTAATTACATCTGCAAAGATCCTATTTCCAAATAAGTTCCCATTTTAGGGACCCAGGGGCAGAACATGGACGTCTCTTTTCGGGGGGCCACCATCGGTCACTGTAGTGACCTTGGGCCAGCCTCTTAGCCCCATGTAGCCTCCATTTCCTTGTCTGTAATAGGGTCAGGAGCGCTGGCTCTATCCACTTTAAGCTCTGAGATGCATCCATGAAGCAGTTGATAGGAAGTCAGCAGCATGGCTCGTAAATCACCATAGCTACACTTGGTGGGTTCAGGGGCACTGAGAGAGGACACGGCTGGGCACTGACCACAACCCCCACCACCATCCCAGCCTGCTCTGCCTAGAACAGGTGCTGGGGTCTGGAGACATACATAGCCTCTGCCCTCCTGGACTCATCTCAGAAGGACTCAGCCAGAGGCACCAGCCAGTTCTATGACAACCCCACTCTGGGTGGCCAGAGGGTCAGGAAGGATGAACTCTGCCTGGGAGGGGCGGGTCTGGTTGGAAGGTTGGGTAGTTTGTCACTGCAGACTGGCCTTCCTGGAAGGGCAGGTGCAAAGGCACAGAGCTAGGCAGGCATGCAGTGGGGACAGGTGCAGCTGCGAGGGCCTTGCCATCCGGGTTTGAACATTTGACTGGGAAAGCCACTTGCGTAAGAGCTGGGCCCCAGAGGCCCGGAAAGGGACTGTGGTCCCCAAAACTCCACGGAAACGGCAACGCCGTTCATGGAGCTCTTCACGTACAGTATGTCATCGAACCCCTTCTCGGCCCCCCGTGGTGAGGGGGGCACCTTAAATAATACCCAGGGATGATGCAGGCACAGAGGCTCTGGGGTGCTGTGTCTGGCCCAGCACACGCAGCTCTGACAGGACAGCTGGTCCCTGGGCCTATGTGTCCCTTACACCTGTGTACCGGGCACAGCTGCATGGAGTCCACTGCCAGCGTGGGGCGACTTTTCCTACACATTTGGTTTGATTGCATGTCATTCACACACCCAGCAACTGGTGTCGGCTTCCAGGCCTCAGGCAAATCGTTGAACACGCAGCGTCCCCATGGGTGAGGCCTGAGCGCTCGGCCCCGCGACCATCCATCTCACAGAAGAAACATTCAGAGCACGCCCAGTCACAGAGCTCAGAGCTCGGGGAGCTGATCCCATCACTGCTCTGAGCGGAAAGGTCTGTCAGGCGCAGCTCCCGCCAGGATAACGTCTGCACAGGAGAGTGGAGGCCACGCTCCCGAACAGAGAACCAGCTCCTTGTAAATCTGACACTAATCGCACTGCCACCGAGGGGCTGGATTCGGAAAGCTTTTAAAACAGCACAAATTTGCTCTGAGTTACCATTTGCCTGGGCCTCTTAAAAAACTCAAAATTGACACAGAAAATGTACTGTTGACATTTCCCTGCTCCCCTGGTGCAAGCCAGAAGCCCCTGACAAAGATTGCCTTGTCAACAGGGTTCTAATTTTAGACAGCCTACCGAGGAGCTTGGAGCTCAAGGCCAATCTCATTTCAAAACAGAAAAATCCTTTTTAAAGCTCACCCGTATTAGCCTCAGGATTGAGGATTCGAGTCAGACACACACACGCCAGCTGAGTGAGAGGGTCGGGCACTCGGGCTCCATTTGAATCCATGGGTGGGATGAAGCCCCTTCCCCAGTCTCCAGAAGCCCAGCGCAGTGGGAGCGGCTGCGTCTGACTCTCCCCGGAGCCCCGTGTGCAGGCCCCGCCCACAGAGAGGCTGATACTCGCTTCCTGGATGAAGGAGGACACAGGAGCAGGTGGACCTCTGCTTCCCAGGAAAGTGAGGGAAAGAGGAAATTCCAGGTGCCTTTCTAAGTCCACAGAATCACTGGTTCTTGGGATATCTTGCATATTTCTCCACTGAAGCGGTAGAGATGGGGAAGTCCTCACTCCTTCTGAGCAGGGACACACAACAAAGGGAAAAGGCCCAGCGTGAGGACATCTGGAAAATGGGCTCTGAGTCAGCCAGACTTGGGTGGGAACAGCAGCACTGGAACCTCCCAGCCACCTACAAAGGTCGGCCTCTCCTGGCCTCGGTCTCCCCATCTGATAAATGGGGTGAGGCCAGTGCTGTGAGCACTAACTTCATGGGAAGCATGAATGCCTGTACACACCCATCTGCCAGTAAATGTTGGCTTGGATAGACTGGAAAAGCAAGCCCCAAGCAAAGCTCCTTGCAAAACAGAGCTGTGTATTCTTACGGGAGCCACAGAATCGTGGAGGGTCCTCAGGAAGGACTTACACCAGGTTTTGTTTAAACCCTTTTCTCTCCCTAAGGACCCCCTCCCCCCCCCAGAGACTGGTAGAACGAATAACCGAATTCAGCAAGGATACAGGATACGAAATCTAGACAAAAAAGTCAGTTGTGTTTCTATACCCCAACAATGAACAATCCAAACAGAAAATTAAAATAACAATCCCAGTTATAATAGCATCAAAAAGAATAAAATACTTAGGAGTAAACCCAACCATGGAGGTGAAAGGCCTGTACACTGAAGACTACAAAACATTGGTGAAAGAAATGAAAGATGCAAATAAATGAAAAGATATCCCATGTTCATGGACTGGAAGACTTATTATTAAGATATCAATACTACTCAAAGCAATATACAAATTTAATAGAATCCCTATCAAAATCCCAATGGCACTTTTTGAATAAATAGAAAAACCCATCCTAAACTTCATCTAGAATCTCAAGGGATCTCAAGCAGCCAAAAGAATCTTGAGAACGAAGAACAAGGTTGGAGAACTCACACGTCACAATTTCAGACTCACTACGAAATTACAGCAATCAAAACAGTATGGTAACGGCATAAAGTCAGACAAATAAACCAATGGCTCCACAACTAGACTGAAGAACAAAAGGACAGCAACTTGTCTGTTACCCTCTCCCAATTCCCCAATAAAACCTTTAAAAACAAAACAAAACTTAAAATAAATAAATAAATAAACAAACAAATAATAAACCAATGCAACAGAAAAGGGAGTCCAGAAATAAACCCATGTGTATATGGTCAAGTGACCTTCAACAAGGGTGCCCAGACCACACAATGGAGAAAGGACAGGCTCTTTAACAACTAGTGTTGGGAAATTGAATATCCACAAGAGAATGAAACTGGACCCTTGTATTACACCACATGCAAACACTAATGGATTAAAGAACTAAATGTAACACTGTACAACTCCTAGAAAACATAGGGGGAAAGCTTTATGACATTGGACTTGGCGATGATTTCTTAGATATGACACCAAAGGCATAGGCAACTAAAGCAAAAATATTCTAATGGGACTACATCAATGTAAAAACTTCTGTGCATCCAAGAATACAATCAATAGTGAAAAGGCAACCTGAGAAATGGGAGAAAATATCTAGAAGTCATATATCCAATATAGGCTTAATATCAAAAATATATTAAAAAACTTCTACAATTCAACAACAAAAATAACCTGATTAAGAAATGAGTAAAGGAGTTGGATATTCTTCAAAGATGATATGCAAATGGCCAGCAAGCATATGAAAAGATGACCAACATCAGCAGTTGTTAGAGAAACGCAATTCTAAGCCACGATGAGATACGATCTCACCCCTATTAGGATGGCTACTATTAAAAAACAAAACAAAGCAGAAAATATCAGTGTTGGTGAGGATGTGGAGAAATCAGAAAACTTGGGCACAGTTGGTGGAACTATAAAATGGTGCAGTTGTTAGAAATATTAAAACTAGAATTACCATATGTCCAGCAATTCTACTTCTGGGTATATATCCAAAAGAGCTGAACACAAGATCTCGAATTGATATTTGCACACCCATATTCACAACAGTCAAGAGGTGGAAGCAGCATCATTCACAACAGTCAAGAGGTGGAAGCAACCCAGGTGTCCATCGACAGATGATGGATAAACAAACTGTGGTCTATACACACAATGGAATGTTATTCAACCATTAAAAGGAAGGAAATCCTGACACCTACCACAACATGGATGAACTTTGAGGACATTATGCTGCACGAAATAAGCCAGTCATAACAAAGACAAATCCTATATGAGTCCACTTATATGAGGCAGCTAAAGTAGATAAATTCATAGAAACAGAAAGCAGAACGAATGATGGTGACCAGGAGCTGGGGGAGAGAGGAATGGCAGTTGTTCGATGAATACGGAGTTTCCGTTTTGCAGGATGAAAAATTTGTGGAGCTCTGTTTCACAACAATGTGAACGTGCTTAACACTACCGAACCGTGTGCTTTAAAATGGATGAGATGATAAAACAAAACAAAACAAAACAAAACACCCCTTTCTCCATGGATGGCACCCACATCCCAAAGGGCCTGAGTGGTTTATACTTTCTTGATGTTCTGGGTACCAAGAGTGAGGGAGAGAGGAAG